AGAAAATATTGACATAATCTGCTCTATGTGCACAATACTCAGGATCATTTTAAAAAAGTCGCCCAAAAGTGTCGAAATTGGGGTCAAATTTGAAAGTTCCTTTACTAATAGAGCTACATTTTCCTTACCGAATGGATCAATGCCAGCTTACTATTTAATTTAATATGAAACTGGCGAATTTTTGTAAATTCTGGAACAGACCTACACAGAGCAATGTCATTCGATTGTTCAAAAATTTGCCGGAAATTAACGAGAAGCAACAAAAACTTCCTAATTTTTCCAGCATTAGAACAATAAGTTCTTTACTCAACGGTCTTAACACAAACTTGTCATACATAAACATAATGTACTCAGGCCACCCATATTTAAAAAATCGCCAAAAAATAACAAAACCAGGACAAGATTGAGAAATTGCCTCACTAACAGAGCAAGACTTCCTCTACTCAATACTCAATTTTTAGTTACGAACGAATTTTGACCAACCATCTAGTTGAGTCCAGAACGACCAACTGTAACTCCTTGGAGGATAAGCAAAAAGTCAATCTAACTAGCGCTTATTAATAAATGAAAAATAAAAATACATAAATTTTTATCCTGTCGCTAAGCATCATCACCAGCAGGAGTTTGCTGCAAGAAGCGGTAAGCAATGAAAATTAATTCACTGTTTGCGTGTGGAAAATGCACGCAAACCTTCGCTGAGTGACTTCAGTTTTCCAATTTCAATTAAGATTTGTTTGCTGAAGTAATGCGGATCGCCGAGTTTGAATTAATCCACTCAGAAAGCGAATAATGGCGACTTTCCCGAATACCACGACCGCCTTTAAGGGCCTAATTTTCCGCAAAACAATTTCGTTTATGGGGGGCCGCAACGGTGACGAGCACTGATTATTTTGCCAGAAAATTGCTAGTTTCGACGGATTAGCGTTTGCTAAGTCTGGTTAAATTCAGCCTTTCTAACGTATAAATGATACTTTCGGGGGTTAAATGGCCGAATTTTGCAGCTGGAATTATTAAATCTGCTGTAACGCGTTTAAATGATAATTTGGCGTTGGTGCAAATACAGATTTTCGGGCGGAATCACATCGGTTAAGCTTAGACAAGGCCAAAAGCCAAAAGAAGAAATAAACGAAAAATAAGAGATAGGGATTATTTATGAATGCGACTCTGTGTTTCGAGAGCAGGCAGAGTCGAATACTAAAGCGGAAATTTAAAGTTGCGTAGGTGACATCAATTATTTGAGGAAAGTACGCGAAACTTGCACAGGAACGGAACTAGAACGTCTTGTGAATAAATCATTGGATGGCTAAAGTTAATGTGGACACAGCAAAAACCTGCCAAATTTATATTCTCTGTTGTAACAAAAGGGATGAATGTCGTCGAATTAATTTTTCCTGGTTCCTGTTGCAATTATCAGCCTTAATGCACCAGAATAACGAAGGTTTTTTCAAATTATGTCCGTCCGAACCCCGCCCATTTCCCAAGAGTTTTGACATTAACAGCATCATTCATCTTTAGTGTCATTTCTTGTCATTAATGCGGCGCACTGTAAAGTTCAAAATTCCGCGTATTTTTGCCCGCAACTATTGAATATTGTGTATTTTCGCAAAGCGGAGCTCCCTCGTCACTTTGGGGCTAATTTGCAGTCGGTAAAAGTGTTTCGGGCCGAATTAAGTGATTCGAAGAGTTCGGAAGTTTCACTGACGGTGCGAGGTTATGTGTAAGTGAAAATCTTAGTCACTGGACATTTCTGGACTGGCTCATCGCAGTAACGTCTGTCATGGATCCATCATTTGAATTCAACATCACTAACCCAAACTAACCTAAAAATTTGAAGTTTGTTTTGTTTATGGATCGGTTGTATACATTCGCGTAGTGTTTATGGCTATGGTACATACGTTTTTATTGGTTTTTCCTTTGGAAAGTTACTTAAACAAGGAGAAAATGAAGTCCTGCGTACGCCATTACATATCCTTATGAAATTTATTGAATAAACATGCCTTTCGCGGTTGAAAACATTTATCAACACAAACACTACACTTATTTGCTTCTTGTTACATTACGAAAAACTTTCTAAAATGGCAAACTAATTAATATGAGAAAAGCAAGACCTTCTCTTGGTCAAGAGAGCAAGTCTTGGTCTTGTTTTTATATAAGCGGTAAAATTAAACGGAATTAATTTAATAGTTATTAAATTAAAAGATAATAATAATCAATACGAAGCAATCAAAAAATTTGTAAACTATTTCCTATTTCAATAAGTTTAATTATTTTGTAATTCAAAATTGTTGACCCGCACTTTTTCGTTGCTTAAGATTAAGATCCAGAAGATCTTCATCCCAAGAAATTGAATATATTTTATGGTAAGTAGTGTAATTTTCATATTCTAACGAAAGTATAACAGCAAAAAAACAGTGACGCAAACACTTTATTTAAATCGATTAAAGACACAGTTTTCCAGACAGTTTGTTTCCGCAATATTCTTGTAGACTTCGTAGGACGCCTTCGGTCTTCTGGTCAAATTAGCGCTGGTAAAATCCACATCAATCAACCCAAATCCGACTCTGAAATCCAAAATATTTCAATACCCTCTATCGGACAATCCTCTATAACCCACGTGTATCCAGAGCTCCATTCATATGAATTCAACAGACTCCAGTACGTGTAGCCGAAGACGTTGGCTCCATCAATGTGGATGGCCTTTAACAGGCTGCACAAATGCCCCTAAAACCAAAACAGTAATTCCTTCACTGCTACTGTTTTGCAAGCCATCAACCCGCTCTTACTCGAATATAAGTAATCCTGTTGGTGTCGTTCACAGTCCCCATCACATCAGCCCATCCATTTTCCATTATGAAGATCCTGGGATTTCCATACTCATTCGAGATCCATTTGAGCAACTTTCTGAATCCTGCGGGTTTGTCGTAGAGCCAACTGGCTGCTGACTGAGTCCAGTGACTCGCAGCTGATCGAATCACGTTTTTATCCACATCGTAGCTGATGGTGCTGTTTTCGATTGCCGTTATGTTGCGATAAGCCGAGGTCAAGTAGGTGGTGTAACTAAAATGGCATGGAATAATGGAAGTTGATGGAAAAGGTCAAGTTTTACTAGTTGAGCCCGATGAAGTCGTAGGCGTTTTTGATGAGCCCTATTTCCTCCTCGGTGAGCACGGGGAGTCTGGAGGCGTTCAAGCCCTGAGCCGTGCTGAGTGAGGCGATTCGTTTTATCACAATCGGCGGCCAGTTTCCCACTAGAATTGGATGGGCTCCTATTCCGAACTGCAAAAAAACATCTAAGTAAAGCGAAAGAAATAAAATGGGGAAGAAATCATTGGGGTTCTTTGGGAATTGTTAACCTCCATAGCAGGGGGGATCCAGCTTTAAATTCAGGGGGGGGGGGGTTATGTAGAAAAAATACAGCCTTCTGTTGTCTATAAAATTAGAAAAATTATCGTCGTTTTGTGCAAGAGTGGCGTAAAATTATTGCAAAATTTCATGTTTTCCGTCCCGTTTTGCATGTTTCTCGAAAGCAAAATGAGCAAGAACGCTCGTTTTTACATCATTCCAAAGAGAACTAAATGGCCGTTTTAGAAAGTGAACCATCGATAAGGAAATGTTGCAGTTTTCTCAAAAAATGCTTGAATTCAAGAAGTTTTAGATTTGCGTGGTTTTTTTTCGAGTTGCAAAATCCACTTGAATATGACGCTGCTTTTTTCGAAGTTTCTCAAGAACCATTCGAGCCACAGAATTTGTTTTGGCATCGTTGGATAGAGAATGGAAAAGTCGATTCAGTCGTAACAACGTGAGTGAGGAAATTCGAATAGTTTTGACCCAGAAAGTGAAATTTGAATATCAGACACTTAGGTGCAAGATTATGCCAAAATTTTATGTTTTCCGTCCCGTTTTTGATCATATCTCGGAGGCAAAATGAGCAAGAACGCTCATTTGTACATTATTCTAGAGAGAAGTAAATGGCCTTCTTAGCAAGTGAACCATGTATGGGGAAATGTTGGCAGTTTTCTCAAAAAATGCTTGAATTTAAGAAGTTTTAGATTTGCGTGGTTGCAAAATCCACTTGAACATGACGCTGCTTTTTTCGAAGTTTCTCAAGAACCATTTTAGCCAGATAATTCGTTTTGGCATCGTTGGATAGAGAATTGAATGGAGGTGGGGTCATGACCCCCATGACCCCCTCCCGAATAACTCGAATTTTCACCTCCCAATAAAACTGAATAGTTTTAAGAGCAGTTTGACTTGGATTTTACCCTGATTTCTTTGGGAAAATGCCCGCAATTCATATAAAAAACTTACGTCCCATTGTAGATGGTTTTCTGCTGATTCTACATCTTCCGTGCTGTTCGTAAGTGGTTCCGGGTTGGTACTAACGAGAACTATTCCCACTTCCCCTAAACAGTTAAAATTGAAAAATGTTGGTAACATTTTCAGCGTAAACAAGTGAAAATTAGAAATTTCAATTCTAAAAAACTCACTTTATTAAGTATTAACATCATTATTTTTTATTTTTCAAGTCTTCATTCAAGTCAAGGCGCGACACTGACCTGAATGTGAAACGTGAACATTTGACCACTTTAGAGGTTTTTCTGCGTCCAAATCCGTGTCAAAACTGATTTCAGCGTAAAAAATGAAGAAAGTGATCTTTCGAGTTCAAATCAGTGTTGTGCTCGAAGGCCTCGGCACAACAAATACATCAGATTCTAATTCGCTTTTGTCGCGACACCGATTTGAGGGCAAAAAATTAACAAAGTGCAGCTTCAAAGTGATTTTTCGAGTTCAAGTCAGTGTCGTGCCCGTAGGGCTCGGCACAAAAATCGCATTAGAGTCAAATGAATTTGTTGTGTTGAGCTCGTCGGGCACTGCACTGATTTGGACTCGAAAAATCACTTTGAACCTGCACTTTTTCCCTTAAAATAAATTTCGTCACTGATTTAGTGGCAAAAACTGAAAAAATAGCAGGTTTATAGTGATTTTGCGTGTAAAAATCGCGCTATAGTCCAATGTATTTGTTGTGCCGAACCCTTCGGGCACGACACTGACTTCAGGGCAAAAAGTGAACAAAGTGATCTTTTGAATTCAAATCAGTGTCGTGCTCGAAGGCCTCGGCACAACAAATACATCAGATTCCAATTCGGTCGATCTTTTGGTCGGGCACGACACTGATTTGAGGGCAAAAAATTAACAAAGTGCAGCTTCAAAGTGATTTTTCGAGTTCAAGTCAGTGTCGTGCCCGTAGGGCTCGGCACTAAAGTCGCAATAGAGTCAAATGAATTTGTTCTGTTGAGCTCGTCGGACACTGCACTGATTTGGACTCGAAAAATCACGTTGAACCTGCACTTTTTCCCTTAAAATAAATTTCGTCACCGATTTAGTGGCAAAAACTGAAAAAATAGCAGGTTTATAGTGGTTTTGCTTGTAAAAATCGCGCAATGTATTTGTTGTGCCGAGCCCTTCGGGCACTAAACTGATTTCTGCGCAAAAAATGAAGAAAGTGATTTTTCGAGTCCAATTCAGTGTCGTGCCAGAAGAGCTCAACACAACTAATACATTTGACTCTAATGCGATTAAAAAATTGAAGCCTCTCTTTGTCAATTCTTTGCTCTCAAATCAGTGACTTTTAATTAAATTTTTAACTAATTGAAATTTTTAGCTCCTGATTAACTTTTATTAAAAAATTACTTCTTTATTGTGAAATAAGAGCACTCTTCTCTGTCAATCCTTAATAGAAGACGTGAGGACGTTCCCTCAATTGATCCAAAACACCCAAGCAGAAAGGTTTGGAGGCAACAGGTTCCGACTGAGTTAAGCACTCCTCAATATCTCCATAGCAATGTGAATGCTGCTTACCATTCTGAGTCGATCTGAACGACGCATTGTAACTGTGGTAAGCCTTGGCGTGGGCCAGAACAAGCGTGTAAAGACACCGGTAAGTCAATGTGCCAGATTGCTTCAATCCAGGCGCATGAATCCCGACTCCATATCCATCATAGCAGTGGATGAATGGCTCGTTTATGGTCACCCAATATTTGACCAAAGCGCCAAACTGGGAGAAGCAGAATTTTGCGTATTCGTCAAAGTAAGTGGCCATCTCCGGATTGGTCCAGCCGCCCAGTTCGTCTAATGTGGCTGGTAGGTCCCAATGGTACAAAGTGACAACTGGCTCGATGTTGTTCGCTTTCAATCTCTGAAATCAGAAGGTTTTTACTGCTAGTTTGCAGCAAAGATCAGAAATGCGAAAGTTTTTGAAGGAGCTCTTTGCCCTAAAAAAAAAGTGAAACTCTTTGGACCAACCAATACCTGAAGCAGCTTCAAGTAATACTCCACTCCCGCCTGGTTCACATGATCCACAGTCCCGTTCGGCAAAACTCTGGGCCACGATATGGAAAATCGATAAAAATCCAGATGCAAATCGGCCACCGCATCCACATCCTCTTCGAACCGATGGTAAGAATCAGTCGCAATGTCCCCATTGCTGTGATCCTCAATTTTCTCTGGAAAATTGTGAGCGAACGTGTCCCACATGCTTGGCCCCTTCCCATCCTCATTCCAACCGCCTTCGACTTGATAGGCCGAACTGGCGGTTCCCCAGAGGAAACCTGGAGGGAAGCATTTTCGGCACGTTGCTGCTGCCCTGAAAGTCGCTCAGAAATAGACTAAAAGGTCGCATTTTTTAACAAACTTACCCCACAATTAGCCAAACGGCCCCAATCCACACAGGGGTGTACATTGGAAAAACTGCGACTTCACTCAAAAACTCACCAGTTCCTAATGGTGTTTCCAGCTTAGTTTTATGGCGCCAAGCGAAATCGCGCAGTTAATCTTTTATTGCAACGAAATTGAGTGCAACCATAAATCCAAGTCGTGGTTTTTCCAAAGCAATGCCATTCTACTACAGGGTGGTGCTGAACAGTTTAGTGAGCACACAATTTCAGTGCGGCAAAAGAGAAGCTTCTGAATCCTGTTTGAAGAAGTTCTGCTAATCATTCACTTGATGACTCTTTAATGCACTTCGTTGCTGAAGAAGCCCTGGTTGCTCTTGCAGGATTTTCAGCACTGATTTAGTTGTGCACACTGCGACCTCGTTCCTCGTTGTTTAATGATAATTTAAGTCATTTAGACTTACATAAACAATCTCCAGTTGAGTACTTTTAGTGCACTTACCTTTTTTGATTGTTTATATGTTGTTGTTGGTCAAGGCAATGGGATCCTCTTGTAAACGTCCGCATATTTGCCCTTTTGGCTTGGATTGCAAAGTTCTGGATTCAGATAAAGTTCATGCGAGTTTTGGTTGCAGCCGGTGTTTCTCCTTTTGCTTTTTGCATGGTTTTTTCCCGGTTTTTCCGGCTGGAAAGTGGCAGAAAGCTTGCAACTTTCGACATTTGGATCTTCACATTTTGGGCCCTTAAATACGCGTTTCTGCTTCAATTTTTCGTCACTTTTAATAAGACACTGTCCAGTTTTTGAAGTTCGCTCACCCTGTAGAAGCCACTTGCAACTGAAAGCCCCGAAAATATCACTCACATTGAACAAAAGCCTGATTTTTGCCAAGCTAATAGATGAGAAGACAAAAGCGACAGTATTTGCTCAATTACGCGCTTCTCTTAAAAAATTCCTAACTACCACTGCAAAGTTGGTAGCAACTTGAAGCTCGCTCAACACATGGAACACCGGTGAAGCGAAACAACGTGAAAATTTCACTCAAATCGGATCAAGCTCTGATTTTTGCGGAACCTGTCCAAGCAGGATCAAAAGTGACCAAAATCTTCTAATTGCACGGTTTTCTTTAAAAATGTTGAACTTCAAATCTGGAGCACTTTGCTACTTGAAATTTGCTCACCCTATAAACGATATCCCAAGCTAAAAACTGTATAAACATAACTGAAATCGGAGAAGAGCCTGATTTTTGCCAAACCTGTAAACGCAGGACCAAAATTGAACAGTCCTTTAAGTGCGTGGTTTTCTTTAAAAATCCGGAACTTCCAATTCGAGACGAGTTTCAAACTAAAATTTGCTCACCCTATAGATGATATCCCAGGCTAAAAACTCTAAAAACATCACTGAAATCGGAGAAGAGTCTGATTTTTGCCAAGCCTGTAAACGCAGGACCAAAATTGAACAGTGTCCTTTAAGTGCGTGGTTTTCTTTAAAAATCCGGAACTTCCAATCCGAGACGAGTTTCAAACTGAAATTTGCTCRCCCTGTAAAGGATATTCCACGCTAAAAACTCTATAAACATCACTGAAATCGGAGAAGAGTCTGATTTTTGCCAARCCTGTAAACGCAGGACCAAAATTGAACAGTGTCCTTTAAGTGCGTGGTTTTCTTTAAAAATCCGGAACTTCCAATCCGAGACGAGTTTCAAACTGAAATTTGCTCACCCTGTAAACGATAGCCCAGGCTAAAAACTCTATAAACATCACTGGAATCGGAGAAGAGTCTGATTTGTCTCATCCCTCTAAACGTGAAGCTGGATATGAACATGCTCCCTCACTTGCGCGCTCTTCTTTAAAAATTCTCAACTTTCAACCCGAATACAACAGCAATTGGAGATTTGCACAGGCTACAGGAAACACCTGATGCTAAAAGTCCCGAAAATTTCACTAGAATCCTAAAATATTCCGATTTTTGCCAGCGTTATACAGAGGTGCCAAAAATTGACATCCCTTCCAATTGCATGCCCTTTGCCTAAAAATTTGGAACTTCCAATCCAGGATGAATTACAAAATAATATTTGCTCACCCTTTAGAAGATAGTTGAGGCTAAAAAGTCTGAAAAAATTACTAAAATTCTACAAGACCCTGATTTTTTTCGATGCTGTACATGTGGGGTCCAAAATGAACACCGTCCATCAATTGCGTGCTCTTTTTCAAATATTCGCAACTTTCAATCCGAATCCGGCAGCAACCTGAAATTCGCTCCAACTACAGAAAATGCCTGAAGCTAAACGCCCAGAAACTTTCACACGAATTGGAAAATATTCCGATTTTTTTCAGAGCTGTAAAGAGGTGCCAAAAATTGACAATCATTCCCAATCGCACCCACTCAGCGCCAAAAAAATTCGGAACTTCCAATCCGCGATTAATTACAAATTAATATTTGCTCACCCTGTAGACGATAGCTGATGCTAAACATTCTGGAAAAAATGGTAAAATCGGAGGACCCTGATTTTTTCAAGGCTGTAAATGTGGGGCCCAAAATGCACATGTTCCATAAATTGCGCGCTCTTTTTTAAAAATTCGCAACTTACAATCAGAAATTGACAGCAACCTGAGATTTTCTCGCACTATTGAAAATACCTGAGGCCAAAAGCTAGGAAAATTTCACTGAAATCGTAAAATATTCCGATTTTTGCCAGCGCTGGAAAGAGGTGCCAAAAGTTGACAATATTTCCCAATTGCACGCTCTCCGCTTAAAAATTCTCAACTTCTAATCTATTGGCGGTCGGGACTTAAACTTTGATTGCAATATCCCGGACATTTGAAGCTAACTGCCCCGGAAATTTTACTCAAGTCATATAAAACCCTGAATTTTACCAAGCTTGTGAATGAACAGTCAAAGATGGCCATTTTTCTCAAATGCGCGGTCTGCTTTGAAAATTCCCAGTTTCAAATCCGGCACCCATTGCAAGCTAAAATTTGCTCACCCTGTATAAAACACTTGAAGCTAAAAACTATGAAAATTGCACTCCAGTCGTGTAAAACCCTGATTTTTACGAAGCCTATGAATGAAGAATCAAAAGTGATTAAGGACGCGCATAAAACGTTTTTTTTTCAATTGCGCTCGTTTCTTCAAAAAATCACAACTTCCAACTGAGAGCAGATTTTAAGTTGAAATTCGCCTACCTCATAGGACCCACTTGAAGCTAAAAATCTTCGAAATATGGATTTAATCTGAACCAATTTGGATTTTTACCAATCCTGTAAATGTTGTGCAAAAAATTGATTGAAATTCAAAAACTCGGCAAACGGTTTTTGAATCTTTGAAGGAAAAATGCGCTTTAGGTGCAGACGTTAATATAATTTTTTTAAATAAAATGCAATTGAACATAATCCAGAAAAATTCGAACCAGCCGAAAGTTCCCGGTCTCTCTTTTCCCTCAAGAAATACCTTAATGAGTATATGTATTTAAATACGAATTATTTAACCAACAAATTAATTTAATTACTAGTTTCCTCAATTAAGCCCTTAATTTACTCTTTCCTAATTCTACTCTTGCCACTAAGATCTTAAGAATCTGTGAAGCTTTCATTGAGCACCAGTTATAAAGTTAAATTCTACTAATTTCGTATTGATGTGGCCGCAATTGGCGTTGTTAAAGTGATCGTATATGGAGGCGGTTCGGAACCTGGCCGAGTTTCACTCGAACGGGTTTCCACATGTTGAGGACTTGTTTGGACATTTGCCGCACACACTTTGATGGCTTCCTCGTATTTTGGCGGTGGTTCAGTATAATGTTCTACGATTTAAAATTTATTCACTTTTGCATTTCCCTCTTGTTAAAACTTACGCGAGTAAGGAGGAGGCGCGCCAGGAAAAATCCCTCCATTTGCCGGGGAATTGAATGAGGGATTCACATAAATATCCGTAAAATCCACGGATCTTCGTCGGGCTTGTCGTTCTGCCCGTCTTGCCAGACGTTCTGCAATTTGTCGAGCTTCATTTTCGCATTAATTTACATCAAAATGCAAGAGTTTTTCAATCAAGATGAACGGTTTTTACCTGCCAAAAGACGCTCTCTGGTGTAAGTCTGTTTGATTTTTTGCACTAATCCACAGAATGAGACGATGAAAATGAAGATCAGCGCCCCTAAAAGTACCAGTTCAAACGCCATTCTGAAACGAATAAAAATTTCTGGCAACTATGAGGAAAGGGTTGGTGGATTTATGTTGTGAGCTGGAAAAGTTTCAGAGGTTCATTAATTTTTTTTTAAGTTTCATCAAGGTTTCTATCTGGGTTTCAAAAGCTGCGCGCTTTATGCAAGAAAAACAGAAAAAACGCTGTTTTTATGGCAATTTGGCGCACGTTTTTCGAATCTTTGCATGTTTTTGTCTGCCACTGGTTGAGAAGGTACTCAGCATACAGCAAAAGGTTGATTTGTGGGTTTGTGATTGACAAATGAAAGTTCAGGAAAACACTTTTCTCTTTGTCATACAAAGTAGGCAAAACTTGGAACTTTTTGCATCAATATCTGACGCTTTGATTAGAACAGGAAGTGCTGAAAACTGCTGAGTTTTTTGAGGCATTTAGGCTCTGGTGGAAAAGAATGTTTGAACGTTTTCATCCAACTGAGTTGAAAATTAGATTCAGCTCTAAGTTAAAGACGTTAAAATTCCGATTTTTGTATAGTTCATTAACAGGAATTAATCTCATTCGCTTTTATATCTTTATTACTCTTAAACGTATTTACTCTTTATTAGCAGCAGTCATTAGCGCGAATATTCCACCCAATGAACGCGACTGTTGTAAAAATTGTTGTTCTGCGCTATCATTCTCAGTGTAAAATGAATGTCATTCTTTGCCAGAGATTAATGTTGCTGATGCGACACTTGACAACAATAATTCAACCAGCCAGCAAACAAACACTAGCGGAACACTCGAAACACTGAACCAGCTCAGAAGAACACGCAACACCAAACACCACAACTAATTAATGTTTATTACATACGTTGAAAAGCACCTGCAGGTTCCTCATAACTACAAACAAAGATTGATTTTTGCAAAGCCTCTGATAAGATACGCGTTTGTCTCTCGATTGGTGACGTACATTTGTTATATTGGCAAGAATACAATTGAGGGATTAGAGATAATGGATCTGGCGTGCTCGTTCGAATTGCTTCGAACACACCTTTTGTCATTTGAGATCAATCTTTGAGGATTTGGTCTTTTAACGAAACTTGGAGAAAGCAATTGAGTCGCTAACTCAACTGTTTAACTACTTGGAGCCATTTGGTTCATAAAAAGAACGCGTAAAATCGTGGAAGAGGATGCCACTCTTGCTAGCGAAACGTCGTCGGAACGAAAGTTCTCTGAAAGTCCGAAAAACTCTCTCCAATAGCCCTGAGCATTTTTAACAGGACAGTTGTTCTATTGTCTTTATCAACTTCCCTTTTCACATAGTTTTTCGCTCTTCTCTGCTCTGCTCCAACTTGCTTAGCCGCCCTTGCTGTTCAGACTGTGAACCAATCGATTGAAGGAACTTAACCTGATCGGTCAGTAAAAAATGTTCAAAAACAACACTCTTATTGAAGAACAGTCTATTTAAGACAGAATGAGGATCCGACTATGAAAMTGTGCAGACACTTTTGAAGATATTGATGAAAATCATTGTATATACTTTCCTGACTGTGCTTCAATTCCAAAACAAATTTATTCCTGGGTTTCAGTMATTTATTGTCTCTATTTATCAATAAAAATACGTTTCGGTGTATTTWTCCACCATCATCAGTTTTTATGTGCATGTGTTATTGAGAAATGGTCTATTGAAGAATGAAGTRCAAAAACCGCGCAAATTGAAAAAACCGTTCAAAATTCCGGAATTAATTCTGAAGAAGACTTTCCCTACATTTTCCTCAAACTCGAAAAGTGACTAAACTAAAGCTTCTGTCAACGTCTACTAGACCTCTAGAGCTGATGTCTCTTGTCGCTCTTGAGAATCGGCTTCTTGAAGAATGTAATGCAAAAACCG